CATACAGGGGAGTCACATGATATGCTCATAGGGACTTGGGGCAGGGGAGGAGTCTTTTCATTTACCTGGTAGGAGATTCCCCCCACCCAAACTAGATCTCAACCCCCACTACTTCTAAGTGACGGGAGAGTTCAGCTGAAATGCAAAAAAACAAATCAGTTACTGTCGGCAGGCCTGGATACAGGGACATTTTCAAGAGTCACAATGAGTATGTGCAGTTTCTGCCTCCAGAACGTCTTTCACCCAGCATAAGATGTAATTCCACTGAATAAGGAAAATTAAGCATTGGGTACATTGTTATGCTGAGTGGCTGAGGTACCTAAAACAGACAAGATATACATGAAAATACGAATTTATAGTGGGAATTCAGACTCCGAACTCTTAAAGTGATGACAAGTGTCATAAATTCTGCCCCAGTTTTGGATGTCATCATTTAAAGACCGTATTACTTCACTAATCAATAAAATCTGTAAATTAATGTCTTAGCTGTCTACCTTGGCTGGAGCATCAAATAGGGAATCTGTCAAAGGAAGTCCATTTTTAAAAATGATAATCATTTGGAATAGTGTCGATTTCTATCATAGCATTTGTAAGCAGAGAGATCACAGTCAACCAAAAGAAGATATTCAGTGATAGGATTAAAGGGGAGAGTTTTAACCCATTTTTAAATATATGAGCAAAATTGTGGCTCATTATATGGTAGTAATCCACTATGATTTTATTTATAAAATGGAAATTTAAAAAGGTTTCAATAGTGAAGATTTGAGATGAACTGACAACATCTTGGTGTTTCAGAAGACAGACCCGCCCTTTTTCCTTTTAAGGCGGTGCTGCCTGGCAGTGGCCAGTAGACATAGCTTTAGCACTCATTCACTCCTTGCTGAGCCTGCCAAGCAGGAAGCGACAGAGCTCAGTTACCTTTGTCTTTCCTGCTGCTGCTGCCGCTGCTACCTCCATTTATCAAGCAACTTAACTCCTTTGTAAGGTGCTTGCAAGGGACTGAGTTCATGTTCCTTGATCTGGAAAGAACAGTTCAAAATAACTATTTGTCTGGCAGTAGACAGTGAAAGAACACAAAGCACTGACGGCTTCTGCACTGGAAGTCTCTTAGTTCTGCAGAAGCCTCCAGATACTTCATTTTTAGGAGGTGCAGATGGTGCCAGAAACAGCAGTGGAACCTGCCTCCTGCATCCCACCTTCAAGGCCCTATTAAAATGCTATCCTGGCCACTGACTTGCAAAGCTGTGGTGTGGCCATGTGCTCTTTGAGCTATGGCCAGGACATGTTTTCTTAAGCTTTGGCCCTCTCTCCTACCTTAGAGAGGTGAATCTCCTCTCCCTCTCTCTCTCTCTCTCTCAAACTTACTTTCTAAATAGACTGTATTTTCCAATCTAAAACAAAAAAGCTACCCTGTCCCCTCCTGAGCCCCCTGGCCCTCTTATCCTCCTCCTTTCTTTCCTCCCAAGCAGCCAAATCCTACCAAATGCTATGGCAGACAGCACTTGCTGGTGTTTTTGTTGTAAGGTTGATCGTGTTTTTCTTTGTAGAGCAGGTATTTGTGTACATATCCCATCTACAGAGCCAACCTTCACATTCCTACATAGAGGGGACTTAGTAAGTGGTCTTGAATCAGCTTGTCAGGTTTCTCCAGGTTGTCTGACTCTTGGAGTTAGCAAGTGAGCTGTTAGAAAACATTGATGTACTTAACCACAGTCTAGCAGACTTTCAGACTCGCATCTTTTTTTCTTCTCCCAAGTCGTGGGGTCTCCACTCTGTCACCCAGACTGGAGTACAGCGGCATCCTCATGACTCACTGGGTCTCAGCCTCCTGGGCTCAGGCCATCCTTCCACCTCAGCCTCCTGAGTAGCTGGGACTACTCGCATGCACTACAATGCCCAACTTTTTTTCTTTTTCTTTTTTCTTTTTTTGTAGAGTCAAAGTCTGGCTGTGTTGCTTAGGCTGGTCTTGAACTCCTAGACTCCAAACAATCCTCCCGCCTCCACCTCCCGAAGTGCTAGGATTACAGGTGTGAGCCTCTGCACCCAGCCCAGGCCCACATACTTTGAAAGACCTCTGGATCAGCACTAGCCATTTAAGTGAATTGTTACATAGTGCTTTGTTTATTCTGACAAGTATCTATTGGTCACTAACTGGGCACTTGGCACTCTGATTACGAAAGAGTACTCATCCTGGTGAGAGACAAACTTGCACACTGAGTAAATGCAGTGTGGAAAGTGCTGCCGGTTTCTTAGAAAATACTGAGAGCATGAGGAAGGGTGTGGCCAGTTCTGCCTGGTGGCTCATTCAGGTCAATGTTTCTCAAACCAGGGTCCAAATTCCACAGGATGAATCGTAGGGAAGTCTCAGAGGTCAGAGTGTAAGCCTTTGTTTAATAGTACTAGATTTAACTGAGGGTTATATGAATAAGTTGCTATCCTTCCCTTTCTTCTCTGGAAATGAAATGCTTCTGAACCACTCTGGACTCTCACATAGCTATGAGTAGCTACTTCCATAAGATAAACTTGGGTTTTTTAAATGACTTTCAAATGATATAGGGGCACTTAGCAAAAATCTGAGATGAGTTCATTTAGAACAAAAGTTCTAAACACAGCTGTAGAATGTGCAAAATAAAATTCTAGTTGTGAATAAAACATCTTAGATGATGATGGCAAAATTTTCTCAATCCTAATATTTCTACAATGAGTCATTAAGCAAGTATTTATCGAGTGCCTGGTATGTGCCACCTCTGTTGAGAGAGTGAGGGATACAGCCTCTGACTCCAGACAGCTCCCTTTGCAGACCTGTGACCAGCAAGCAACTCGATGCAGGAGTCAGGGTAAAAGTCTGACAGCACAGTTTTAGATAGTGACATCTACCAAGCACTCACAGATCAATCGTTGAGTGGCAACACAAGGCAGAGAAATGAGATGACTTTTTGGATAATGCAGTCCAAAATTCCATTTTGGAGGGACAAGACCCAGATGCCTTCCTGTGTCATTGAATAATTTAAGCCACACTCCAAGCGCCATTTACTTTGACAAAGACAGAAATAATCGTTCCTGTTCTCTAGAAGAGAAACTTTCCTGAATCCTCACATTTCTGAATCCTCACTTTTCTAATATGATTGTAAAACTCTAAAGCAGCGCCAGGTTTGCAAAATGATAAACACAAGATCTTAGAATCAGTTTGGATGGGATTGGGTTGATGCATAAGTCTGTAGCATTTTTGGCTTATCCATGGAATGCCAGTGTTGTGCCATGGTTGACTGGCCACAGTACATCACATCTGCCCATTCTTGGGTTGGCTGATGTGGATCATCGTGGATTAAAGCGTTTAACGGTCCTCATCCAAGCCCAGTGGTCTTCCTGAACGTGGAGAATCACTCAGATCAAAGTGGTGCTCTTCGAAGGGCGGAACCATTTTCTTGCCGTGCTTTCCCTGATGGCATCGTTCCCGCACATGGCACAGATGTTCCCGCCTGCCTCCGCTGCCTTCCCTCCTCTGTTAAACTCAAACAGAAGAAAGAATATGTCGAAGTGCTTGTTTTTCTCCACTTGACACTCTACCTTCTTTAGCCCACAAATAGCACTTTCTTCAACTCTGCAAAATACAAGGTGTATTCACAAGCCAACATTGTCACTCCATGGCAGATGATAGACAAACTCCCAACACCTCAATGTTGCCATGCCAAAAACAAACACTATGAACTTATGCCTCCACCAATACATCTTCAGTGACATTTCTTTCTCATTTTTCATAGAGTCTTCCCATTGCATTTCTTCATTTTAAAGTTATTTTAAAGCTACCATGTGCTAACCACCAGCAAATTAAAGCCTTAGTAGTTTGGGTGATGACTAATGAACTTGGATCTCTTTAACAAGAATGTATTGAGTACCTCCTATGTGCCAGATTCTAGAGATACAAGTCTGAATTCCTGGATCAAGGAGGGCTGCAGTCTAATAAGTAATTCTGATACAGTGTGATAACTACAATCCTATATGCCTCTTCGGTGAACGTCAGGAACAGAGAGTCATAGCCCCTCCACAGTCAGTAGTTAGAGATCAGTTCCTTTGGAAGGCTCTGGAAAGGAAAAGATAAAAGCTGGGTTGAAGGATGCAGAGGCGAGTTGTAAACATCCGTGGTGTGCTGATGGAGAAGATGTTACATGTCTGAGCTTGTATCATGACATGAAGGAGTCCAGGTTGCAAGGCGCCTTGTAGGTCTTCTGATCCCATCTCCCAGTCAGGAGGTCCCTGACAGGGAAGGAATGTGACCAGTGCATTGGTTTTCCAAGGACGATCAAGGACATAGCTTCAGAGTTGCCTCCCGAAAGTAAGGGAGGGAAGGGGATTTAAACTGCCCGGGAAACCTGTTGGTCACCTTTATTTATTTTATGTATTCATTTACACAAGTTTTCATTGGATAAAAAATAGTTAGAACAGCTAAAAAAAATAGTTAAAAGCTATTTTATAAAATAATAATAAAAATAATAAATAACATAATTTTAAAAACAGTTAAAAGCAAGTGGCATAGTAAAAAGAGCCTGTGGATAGCCCTGTATTTTTGTCCTTAGGTGACGTAAAATTAAATTATTTACCGTATGAGAAAGTGATCTTAAACTGTAATGCTCTGAGCACATTGGAATTATTTTTAAGTCATTTTTGTTAGTTCCCTCACTGACAAAATGCGGTGTTTCATCTAGAAGTCTCAATTCCGCTTAGCTCGAGAATGATGTGATTTTGCAATTCTCCTGCCTTCTCTTGACTTTCTTTTCCATGGCTTTTGACAAGATTTAATGCTGGAATTAGAGCATCTTGCTTTGTGAATTACAGTCAGTCATTGATTTTGTAATTTGCAAATATGGCACTCAAAGTTGAGGTGGCTTCATTTGGAGGATACAGGCATTTCAGTAGCTGGTGATGCGCTTTTGTTGCACATATGCCCAAAGTCAAATGCTTCAAATCTTGCTTTTAATGAAATATTTGTGTTCTTTTGGTAGCCAGAAGTGCAACTTGCTGAAGGCTTTGATGTATTTATGCCCAAATCTCAGCTGGACTCTATATTGTCAAACTACACTCGCTCAGGAAGTCTTCTGTTTAGAAAACTGGTGTGTGCATTTTTTGATGACAAGACTTTGGCTAACTCCTTACCCAATGGGAAGAGGAAAAGAGGACTCAATGACAACCGGAAAGGACTAGACCAAAATATTGTGGGTGCAATAAAAGGTTGGTCTGCATCATTTCATTTTATGGGTTCTTTGTTGAGCTTTGCTTACCTTCCATAAAGATGCAGCTGAAATAGTAGTAAACTAACTAGATACTGATTTCATTTGCCAGTTGCAGTTTAGCCATTGATTTTGGGGTGTGAGCTCTGTAACTCACCATCCTAAATACCTCTAGAACTTGGTATTTCAAGGTGATGTTAATGTGTTTAAATAATAATTTAAGAGTTAGTTTGATCTACTGCAGAACCAGAAGAAAGTTTTTTTCTTATTTGACTTTTAAAACGAAGGTGTTTTTCTATTCTGTAATTTCTAAGAACTTCATTAAAATATGACTTCAGCTTAAATTTTTAGTTGTAGATGAGAATGAAGCTATGATGCTTTTTAAAAAAAGTTAAATGATTTTAAGTTCAGAAGTTGCTTTACCAGCTCATTCCTTCTAAAGACATTTTAAATCTAAGTGAACCCCTGTGAAGCCAGACCCCAAACATCCTGCACACCCCTGTCCTGCCCTGCTCCCTCTTATCTTGTGACATGGAGTCCTGCTGGTTGCAAGGAGACCTCCATAGGTCTCTCCCCTTCATTCCTTTGAGCATGTATCTGTATTCCACTGTGTTACAATCGCCACTTAGGGACACATACAGCACCATATCCTAAACTGAGTTGTTAACTTTCAAGCGTCTTCATTCAGGACTCTGAAGAATGTAACTTTAAGAAACAGAAGTATTTAAATATTATTATCAAAAAGATTGTAAGTGAGGTCTCAGATCTAAACACTACTGCCATAAAAGTGAGATTTTGAATGAGGCCTTAATTAAAAGTCGAATTAACGGACAAGGAGGCCATTCCTGACTGACTCAGTTCCTGGGTTATTTGGTTTGTGAAGTGGGACTGACAGCAGGGAGCCTTTCCTGCTCCCCATTATCTTACAAAATGAATAAATGAATTTAATAGTGCTTAAAGGGTCCTTGAAAATCCACAATTAACTTTATAAAATAACAGGGGTTTTTAAATGGAGTTAGCAAGTACCAGGCACCCTTTGTTCGTGGCCAGAAGGACCTAAGCTTTCATTAACAGACAATTTCTCATGCTCCATCAGGATTTTTTCACTTAAATTGACAGTTGAGTTGTATTAAATAAGAAAAGCTACAGAGATATCACAACCTGTGCCATTTCTGAAAAGAACGGCTCAGCCTGAAGTGACACTGAAAACAAGATTACAGGATTTGAAAAATGGTCAGTGATGTAACTAGGACTTGCTGAAGTGAAGAAGGGTCCCATTTCAATTCAGTCTGGTTGAGGCCTGTTCAAAACACGAAGGTCTAGGCTGCTGGTGCTTTTCTGAAATGCAGCCAGGAATTATTTAAATTTTTTTTTTCAGGTTAGAATATTAACATGATGGAAGCATTTGGAAATTAGGGAACAATAAATACCATGATTCATTTTAATAACAGGAGAAGAATTACCGTAATAATAGATGGCAATGAAACAGGTCATGACAGATAGACCGATAAAGGTTTATTCTACCATTTTCCATCTAGACTGGACATCATACAAGAGTTTGGAAAGTGTATTACAATCAGAAACAGAGGATACACCTTAATTTTCTTCATGGCGCTACTCTTTAGTTAGAAGTAAAAATAGCAAGGAGACCTTTGCTCCTAATATATAATAAAGTAGATTATTTAAATCAAAGAACTTACGTTTTCCATATGCTTCTTTTATTGTTGAATTAAATCGGTTATTAAAATTCCATTAGAACAACACGGTAACTTTAAAACAGAAATCCACCATAAACCACCAACAACCTAAGTCAATACATTTTTTATAATCACTTATTTCCTTGCAGTGTTAATTCATAGACATATATTTTGATTTTTTTTCCTGATTACAAACGTGTTACATTTTTTAAAAACCCAAATCATAAAAAAATGCATAGAAAACTAAAAGACCTCTATAATTTTACTCTTCAGAGGTTGTGTACATTCTTATAGTCTTTATTCAAGCATGAATATAGTGTCAGTTTTGACTTTTTAATAAAAATGTTCTGTTGGTACTGGCTAGTAAACGTTTTTATCTGATTTGTTCTAATAGTTTCTTAAGCACTCCTTGAGGACAAACTTTGTCTTAAATATATTTTATTATTACTGTTGCAGGAGTTCAGGAAATGCCAGCCCCAAATCTGACACTTTGGTATGCTGATCACTTCAAACTAAGCACTCAGGGAACAGCAGATGCAGGGAGGGGCTTTCTCTGAGCTCCGTTTATCTGCCCAAAGGCACAGCTTTTAGAAGGAACTCACTTGTCATGAATCTCCTCCCCAGAAATCTCATGGACCTGGGGAGTTAACTCAGATCGCAGGCGAGGACACTGGAGGCAGACACCACACCCAGACAGACTGTCACCTATTCTGAGGCCCCATTCATCTCTCCCCAAAATCATTCGCTCCCTCCTAAGTTGCCCACACACACTCCTCCCCCATGAACGGCGTATATAAGCTGCTAGATCTCACTGAGTTTTGGGTATTCACTTTCCTTTCATGTGATACCCCTGTGCATGTCATAAATGTGTTTATCTTTTCTCTTTTTAATCTTCCTGCTATGTATTTATTTAAAAGATGCAAGTGAGCCCTCAGAGGGCAGAGGGAAGGTCTTTCCTCCCCTCCAGACTTCACCAAGAGCTTTACACACACTAGGGTTTCCATAAATGCATGTGGGGTGGGTAAATAGGCATATGTTTTCATTTTTTATCTTAATTTCAACTTTAATTTATTGACATAATAAGTTTAGTGCTAAACATCCGTCCTCATGTTATCTTATAACTAATCTAGAGTGATAGACATTAAAACATTGTTATAAGTTTCTACCAGTTAATAAAATGCTAGCCGGGCTCGGTGGCTCAGCCTGTAATCCTGTGCCTTTGGGAGGCTGAGGTGAGTGGATTGCCTGAGCCCGCGGGTTCTAGACCCACCTGGCCAACTTGGCGAGACCTCATCTCTACAATAAATCAAAAAATTAGCCGGGTGTGGTAGTGCGCACCTGTAGTTCCACTACTTGAAAGGCTGAGGTGGAAGGATCACCGGAGCCCAGCAGGTCGAGGCTGCGGTGGCCGGGAGCGGCCACTGCACTCCAGTCTGGGTGACAGAGTGAGACTCCAACTCAAAAATAAATAAATAAATAATAAAATGCTGATGAAAATAAAATAATGGAGCCAGGCACTATGACACATACCTATAGTTCCAGCTACTCCAGAGGTTGAGGCAAGAGGATTGCTTGAGTCTGGCCTGGGGAACATAGTGATACCCCATCTCTTTATTTAAAAAAAAACAAAGGAAACCATAATTGAATATAAATTTGAATACAACTCTTTTAACTACCAATACATTTTCCCTTTACTATATTTTCTCAAGCTAGAAGTGTATTAACCTACATAATGCAGTACAAAGTGATTTTTTGGAAGTAGCAATTAATTGAAGGTCTTACAGAATAGCTATATGTAGGGTTTTTGTTGTTTCTGTTTTTTGCTATTGGTAGAGCTAAAAATTTATTTCTCTGACCATTCTTTTGAATCTCTGTAATCTGAGAAAATGATAAATTGGTTTCTTTCTGTGTAATACTTACCTTGTTGTTATTGCTGTCTACCACACACTTGCAAAAGATTGTGTAAATATTAAATATTCGGCTTTTCTTACTCTATCTCTTTTGTAGCATACCAATCATACATTAGTTTGAAAAGTCCTATTCCCTAGGGATGTACGAAGACTGGTTAATTTTATAAAATCTCAGAAATGAAAATAACGGGTTTGATTTTGTTTCAAAGGTAATTAGGTTGGTTAAAACAGCAATGGGAAAAGAATGAATGAAAATCTGTAAAATGCTTATAAGCAGGAACAGAAATGGACTAGAAAAAGAAGTTTGTTGTGAGGATTATTAACAAAGCTTTCTGTAGTGATAATTAATATTCCCCATGACAGCATCTTGAAAATAAAATATAAGCCTCTTTGTAGAGATCATATTTTTCACATAATCTCATCTGTTTTATGGTGACTAACACTTAATGATAATTCATTAAACATTCATTGATAAGTATGACCTAGGGTATTGCTGCTGAAAGAATCCTTAATTAGAAATGCTCACCTAGCACTTTAAGTTTAACTCTGGGAAGAAGCAACTTATGATCTTATTAAATGGAGTCTTAGATTTTAGCACTGAGGATGAAGCTTCATGTCTTGGATATGATTCAGAATTAATTTTATAGCCACAACACAGAGTGGCTTTTCGTACCCAGATATTCTGTCCTTACCTGCTGAGGTTACAACTGGTTCACCTGCTAGTTCTTGCTGTGATATACTCGGTAGACCATGCAGGTCGACTTCCTTAGAATTACCTAAATGTGAAGACTCATTGAGTCTCTGAATTGCTCTTTGGAAAATTTAGTAGCAATAAAGCAATTTTTAGAGCCCCAGTCAGGCTTTTTCATTCATGATGATTCATTGAGAAAGTTTTATTACTGTCAAACTGTCCTGGAGTCTTGAATCCTCTACCGATCAGAGGAAATTAACGTGTACAGGTTAAATGAAGACCAGGTTGGTGGTTCTCCATACACTCCACCCAACTCAAACTGCTGCTCTTGAGAAGTCAGTGCTGAGGGTCTGCATAGGGATCTGAACTCCTCTGGGAGAGAATGCTTCCTGGTGGGTAGTACTCCAACAAGTCAGCGATGCTTCTTGCAAGATTAGCACAAATGCATGACTGCGTTTGCTGTCAAATGTCCACAGGTTCTGCAGGAATGACCACTCACACGTCTACTTATGTTCCCACACCTCTAAGAAGCTCATAGAGTCCGTATATGTCACATTATAATTTCTCTATTTCACATTGTTATTTTATATCATCATTCATATTCTTGGGAATTAAGAAAAGTGAATTTCTGTTTTCTGTTTAATCTCACACAAATTTAAATGGATATGGTTATGGGAGAAGTTTGCATCTAATTTATTACTTA